TTTATGTCGTCTCAGAGTTCCTTGTGAGTTGTCTGCTAGCTGATTATTGTCAACCATATATTTAGCAGGTTATCTTGCCTGTGAACAAGTGTTGCACAAACAACAGCCTCACCTTTTATCGAAATTTCATACACTCAACAGGCGGGTGGTGTCCGTCTTGCAAGAGCTATTAAATAAATGCAAGCATGTTATACATCATAATAATGGTAAATAGTAAAGTAGGGAAGAATATAATACATTTTACACTTTAAATTACATATCCAACCATATATACTACTCCTGTAATAAGGTGTCTACTCTCATACATCCATTGGTATATTTATTTAAAATATAAACGCATACATTGGTACATTATTCTGTATACGGATAACGAATAGTTCTAGATTTTTAGTTTTAGGCGTTTTGGTGAAGGCGCACAATCGCTGTGCGGCACAGAGGACGATGAGAGCATTAAGTTCCTACTGGTTCAACGGATCAGATATATTCATCACATTACCTCCTGTACAACAGCCAAATGACAATTCTAGACATAGCTTTTTGTACGGATAATACAAACAAGATCTAACTAGTGAGCTTTAGGGGTACTGCCTGTTGTTACCTTTTGAGAAGAGCCTGGTGAGCCCATTTCCAGTCTATATGCTAAGCTAAGCTAACAGGATGCCGGCTCTAGCCTTATATTTAAATAGACAGATAAGAGAACAACAATTCTACTCATTATAGTCTCGTAGAATGTGTGTTGTATTTTATCACATTCAAATATAAAACGAGTATTATAAATGTACTGTTATAATTAAGATCACCATGTGTAGTGATGACGGTAGCTGTTCTGCATGTGACAGGTTGAGCAGTGGACTCCAGCCTCCAGGAAGCAGCGGGTTCCCCGGCTTGCTGTCCTTCCCGGGGGTGCCGGGCTTCTCTTCCTCCGCCTCTCCTGCTGCACTCGGTGGCCTCCACAGCTCAGCCATGCAGTCTGCCCTGCTGCAGGTACACACACACACACACACTGTGCTCTGGCAGAGTCAAATGATTTGAATGTCAGTTTGATAAAGCATCGATGCTTTTCTTTGTCTTGTTCCAGGCTCATCCCTCGTCTGCGTTGGAGAGCTTCCCTCCTCAGCCCAACAGTTTCACCAACTATCCTCCCGGCCCAGGGAACCCCTTCCCCCTCCAACCGGGCCTGCACCCCCAGTTGGGTTGGCAGTGAAACCCACAATACACTTTAAAACATTGAGTACGCTTACACGTCGATCCCTAATGCCCGACCCCTCAGCAGTTGTTGCGTTTTTTTTATTGTTTTGGTCTTGAACCCTGAAGAACACGGGACCGATTGGAGAGGTTCAATAATGTGTATGTTACAGCCAGAATGACTTACTACTACTAGAAACACTATTGTGAAAACAGTTGAATTAGTATGTGGGGGAGATGGCATATTTCCTATATTATTCATAGTGAACAGTTGTAAATATCAGTTGTTAGGTTTTACAAGTAGACCATGACTGGTTTAAATGCTAGCTGGACTTGCCTGTTTTTAATCGAGTTTATCAACACTTATTAGCGAATAATGAGTTATAGAAATTAAATTGAAAAGTGTACATGATATCATGTAATGAATTGACAGTATCCTCATGTAGTGTTTCATACAGTCACAGTGGAAAGGACGTATGATAATGATTGATTATTGTGTTATGACATGAATTCTTTTGGTGGCTTATGTTATATTGTGCTGTATGGTGCAGTCACATCTTGAGGTGGGAACCTCATATTTTTGCCGTGTCAGGGGTGGGAGTGTTGTACACAAAAACTTGCATTTGGCAGTTCCACTCATGTCTGTGTGAGATTTCAGTGAACACACACTTGTCTGTCAGCTGTTTACCGTCATTCACATTGCGTATGTTTACACATTTCTTTTGACAGACGTCCCCTGCTAGTGCTATTATTACAGTATTGACCAGATGTACTGTATGCAGATGTTTCTGAGGACAAGCATATGTTGATGGATATATGGACTTGAGATACAACATGTCATCATAGTGAAAACTGTAATTTTACCTCATTCACTGTGAACCTCGGTACACTCAGAGACAGTTAAGAGTAATAGATGAGCTGTTTGATTCCCTGTGTTGTTTTTTTGTCCTTTTTTTGTATTTGCACCTGTTTTATTATTTTGTCAGTAAACTGCTGGTTGCTGTAGCTGTTGCTGTTTCTCTTTTCTGTGTCACGGCTATCAGGAAACCCATTGCTTTTAAAGAGGTGCAACAATCATCACCCGTTTATGTTACTTTTTAATAAAATATCAAATAAGGCCTATAACTCAGATTAATTACCTAAAAAATTCTAATTGCTGGGGTAGAGGGACATATTTATACATACTTTATTGTATCAGTAAAGGTTCATGGTCAGAGAAAGACTTAATTAGTTAAATATTACAAACTGCTGCCTCTAAAGTGACCAAATAATGACCAGCACAAAGGCTGTGGTAAACATGTGTTAATATGCAATTGTTATTCTATTTCCTGTTGTTTTATTCAACCCTCAGTATTTTAATAGTTTTTACAGCCTACTTGCAGCTCATTTAGGGCTTTACACGGTGCTTATCATGATCATCCGCAATATTGCTCAACGTACAAGTGATGCCATCAGTCACGTGTTAATTAGTCATGAGAATCCAACACCCAGTTATGGGATCTCACTGGAGCATTTTCCATTATTCCAGTTTTTTTCCATTGTAGCCATATGTTTTATCCCTAATATAATAGTATTAATTGCGATATATTCATTTAGTTTCTATAATTTCAGTAAGTGATTTATTTATATATATATATATATATATAATATATTAGATATAAGTAGTTATTTCACCTGGCTATTTATTCTTAAGGAAACTAGTGTCATTTATGCAAGAAATGGGTAATAGTTCCTCATTCTAGTAGGAAGTGAAAAGAGGGAAAGTAGAACATTGCATTTGCTTTTGCTTCTGCTTCTGGGAAATGTCAATACATAAATATTATTTTCTCTGTTTAACTGGTTGGTATTGTAAGGTTCACTATGCGGCACTGAGATTATCCAGTTATCTATTAGCATCATGGTAATTGTACTTTGTTAACGATCAACTCAAGAGCAGGAGCCACACCTTCTCTGAGCTGCGTTATAATCCGGCATTACAGCTTTAAAAGGCTGGGTGACTCCCACATATTCAGACACACTTCCCCTCTCAGTTGTAACCAGCACATGGAAATGGAGGATCAAGTGGAAAGCCAGAAGAGAAGAGGAATGAGCAAAGATGATTTAATATGTAAGATCAATCATATTTCTTTTTAATGTCTTTTCTTCTGAGCTTTAATGCTACATGCCTGGTTGTGTTAAAAAGTAAGATATTACCAGCAGCAGACATTCAGGCTCACAGTTTAATACTTAACATATATCAACAAAAGAGGTGTTTACTCTTCCATGAAACATGAGTTCTGTGTCGACTGTACGATACCATTACATTGTTGTGTGAGCAGGAAGGTGTGTGTGATACGTAGGAGCCCACCTGTGTAAGGTAGAATGCAGCCAGAGAGGCTAGGGCAAAGTACTCCGTCGTCATAGAGACAGAAATCACATGCTACTGAGATAAGAGTCCCAAAAGCATGTGACTCGGAGTGTTTGTCTATGTGTCCGTGCTCTGGGAAGTCGGGGGAACAAGGAGCTGTCATGTTACACAGACGGCGTTGGTGTAACTGTCCCATTTATTTGGTTTGCTGATGATAACTCGCTTTCATATTGTTATCTTTCACTAGTATTTGTATGCACCACCAACCTGTTGGATGGGATTGTGTGACATAGAGACAATGTACACATCATTTACATGCATCCTCTTTCACTCAGGTGATTGTTGGTGAGGAAGTGCAATTACATGAATTGGGTGCACAGATTATGTGGACATACTTTGTGTATTGTTCACAATTTCTTCCATCCAAATAGGTTTTAGTGCTATTTTTTTAAATTTTTTTTTAACCTATTGCATTGAAAGAATATACAGATATAATGAAGATTGGCACAATGTAAGCTATGGTTATAGTATTGTAGCAATCCTCAAAAAATATGTATTGCTTTTTTCCAGTAACTATCCTAGATCACATGAAACAGGAGAAATGAATTTGCAAGGCTCGCTAATGTGCACTAATGCTCCTTAGCAGAGTAGTGCGGCCGTAAAATTTCCTTTAGTTCAACAACAGGAAACTGCATTGTGGTTTGACCTAGAAACAGAATAATGTTGCTTCAATTGATACTAGGACAAAGTAAATTACAAAACAAGCCTTTCAAAAACCCACGTAGTTGAAGCTTTTTGAAAATGTAAATGTAATCGGCATCCTATGACTGTAATACTGCAGGCTGCTGAGGTATAAACCTTAAAGTGCGACATGTAAAGGCTTTATTGCAAAACAGGCACAGATAAAGACTGAAATACAGCTGGAAACTATGACCCGATACGACACGCACACCTTTCCCATACTTCAGCTTACATGACCAAAGCAGCACTGCAGAGATCACGTTGCATGGGTAAACATTTTATTGTTTGCACTCTTTTGTGTGAGAGTCTCTCTGTGTGTAAACTGGCAGTAGCAGTGTTAGATCTAAGCTTGAAAACCGATTAGTTCATATTGATTCAAACCAATGATCTAATCTGATTTCCAGGACAATATTAATTGTATAGTGTACAGTCGAATGGATGTAAACTTTCCTTGACTGGTGTAGTTACAGAGGACCAAAAGACATCGCCCCCACTTCCAAAGTCATTTTTAAACTGGTTTCTGATCAGTGACCTGGGATTTTATGACAGATGTCCATATTTCCCGTCATTATGACCCAGTTTATAAGAACTTTTTTTTTCTTGCTTCTTCACATCTCTTACTTGTTACATCTCCCTCTCCATTTCATATTGGTTTTAGGGATTTGACAGTATGTTAAACAGAAACTGTTGTCTCTCTCTCTCTCTCTCTCTCTCTCTCTCTCTCTCTCTCTCTCTCT